TAATTAATTGGAGGTGCTGATTACAAATACGACATTAGATTCTGTATTCAAACTTTAAGTTAAGAAATTTTAGAGGGTGGGTCTGGGGGGGGGAGGGGGGGAGGGGGGGGGGCGTTCTGCTTGGCATATGGTTGATGACTCACCACAGGGGCCAACTGAAATGCTACTGATATGCTGCATGGGGTCATTCCAATAGACGCACGCATTGTCAGGAGGTGTCGGGGGGTTTTAGTTTTAGTAAGAGTTTTACGGCACTTGCAACACAATAAGGTCATATAAGCGCCGAAGAATATGCGGGCAGTATAGTATATAGACATATCTCAAAGGCCGCCAAAAATGACTTACGTCTCTACGCAATACTGCCCGCAAATAGATGTTTCAAGAGAGTAACGTACACAAAAAAGGAGTAGAAATAAGGACGATAGGTGTTTGATAGGAAAGAAGGAGCAAACCACACCAGAGCACCTGCCGACCATTTTCTCCACAGTCTGTTTTAGTAGACACAGCCAAACAGAATTCTCATTAACTGATAAGGTAAAAACTGGTTCCCTATTTTCAATTACCGAGTCAGTTCCTGGTTTGGTGGATACGAGGGTCTAATTGGCCCGTGACAAGAAAATAAAACAGCTGTCTATAAAGAGAAATGCCCTAAAAAGAAATGTTAATCCTTTGACTCTCAGGCACCTGGCAAAAAGCTCACTACATTCCAGCCACACTTTAAGTGATAACAATTAAGCGATTTTTTTTACTTTGGCAGAGTTCATAACATCCTTCCCAACATCTCACATCTATGACATCAAAAGGACGTATCTGGGACAGATTTGTGTTGTGGATGGAACCTTTTCAGTCTGGGCCCAAGAAATGAATGTCAGTGAAAAAAACAAAACAAAACAAGATAGAAAAACAGACTTTGGTGACATAAACAGAGTTTGTAAAAATTCACAAAGAGAACAAGATGTCACCAGAGAAACTTGAGATGGATATGTGTTGCGGTAACATTCAGGCATCCTGCAGCTTTGTGAGGGAAACAAAATCTAATACTTCAATAAAAGTAAAACTGAGCAGTGGCATACATACAACAATACATAATATTAATAGCAAACATCCATAATTACACACGTGCACTTTAAATGCAGGACTAAGCAAACATCCATAGTTACATAATGTCAACATACTCTGGGAGGGTTCCAGATAAAGCCATTGTTCCAATACTGTCATCGAGGGTGTCATCTAGGGTGTCATCTAGGGTGTCATCTAGGGTGTCAGTGTCATCTAGGGTGTCATCTAGGGTGTCAGTGTCATCTATCTAGGGGCATCTTCAAAGATTGTTTCACTCTTTATCATTATTTGTGTGCATGTTATGTGTCCGTGAGTGTGTATGCGTGTGTTTGTGTGTGTGTTTGTGTGTATATGAGTGTGTGTGTGTGAGTGTGTGTGTGTGTCGCGTGCATGAATATTTTTCTTACATGCATTTATGTAAAGCGCCAAGAGCTGTGTTTACACGGGAGTGGGCGCTATAGAAATGATCTTCATTATTATCATTATTATTATTATTATTATTTTCTTCCTTGTTTTCAAATGAAAAATAAAAATGTCAGGGGTCAAATTTAGCAAGTGTATGTTCCTTGTGAGAAGTGACCTTGGAAACCAAATCACTGTTCCCACACAAATAACAAAGATAAATCTTAGAAGGACGAGGCTTGGAATGAAAGAAATGATGAATGCATTTCTAACAAATCTGTGATCAAAGTTACAAGTTCTTGCAACTCTTTTTCATCACAGCCTAAGCTTTTTCCTCTGCGCTGTACAGTGAGACAAAGAGAGATTAGAAAAGAAAGATGTGACTGAGCTACTTTTCCAGATACATGGGAGGGAATCAAACCAAACGAGGTTAATCTGAAAACAGCAGTCAATAAAAAAAACCCACCAGAATCCCCAATTTCTGATGTACTGAGCTAAAGATTTTGAATGTTTTAATCGCAGTTTCTTATTTGTCATATCGGTTACACCCCCTTAAGAAACATTTGGTTACAATAAAAATTCTAAATATTGAAAAAGACAACAAAAAAAAGAGACATTAACCAAGTTGAATTGCTAATCAAATGAGACAGGTTGTTTTTTTTCTCTGCTGCTGAAACATTTGGCTTCGAACATTTTAAAAGCTCACCGATATCAGACTGCACCATACCAAAGATTGTCCATAACAAGATGGTTCACTCAGCCAAAAGAGTGTCCGCGGAAGTCCGCACATTGGCTCAAATGGCGCTGCAGTCTTTGTTTTTAAGCTCTCTTTCGTTTCTCCAGAAGAAGAAGAAGAAAAGCGCAGTTCGTTAGTTTCACTTTTACTGTTTTCCACACAAGTAGGGTAGCTTTGGTCGCAAAGTCGGCTTAAAAAATTTTGAGGACATTTAATTGGTTCAAAGAAGGAGTGAACTATCTTGTATACACGATCTTTGACCATACTCAACTGCACATCCAAGACAGAATGAAAAAGCAAAGGGAAACCCCTTTCGTAGACCACATCAATCGTAACTTTGAGCAGCACATAAATGAAACATTCACAACAATGGACTATATGGTTTTGGTCGTGCTTCTGAGTGCTATAAATATAGCTATCTATGGCATTACTTTACACAATATGTGAGACAGCGTGGTGGAATCAGGTTCTCGTCAAAATACTTAAAGTGAAGAAACTTGCATTTTTCCGCTGGGTTATGCACTTTTATCAAATTTTTATTTTTTGGCTCAGCACCTTTCATGCCTATTAAAGAACTGATCTCTGGGGAAAATTTTCTGAAAAACGTTGATTAAAGGCACAAAAAATGTACATTTTCAGTTACCACGGACTCTTAAGCTAAGGAAATAAATAATCTTTGGCGGTCATTTTCTCACTAATTTTACCTCTGAAAACAGGTGACCTCCACCTCCTTCTTTCGCAAATATTTCGACTTGTATTCAAGATAAATGGATATTTTTTCCATCCAAATAAAGACAATTGAACAAGCTATAAGATGATACCAATAACTCTACATGCCCAAAAATTGACGAGAGCCTGATTCCACCACGCTGCCTCACATATGTGAAGTGTGCTGACAAAATGAGTTACTTCTCGGATTTTAGCCTTATAATGAAAATTGATTCATCCACTTTATAGCTGGAGTTCGCACAATTTGTAAGTGTGGAATAATAAAAAACACTGCGGACTTGAACAGAATGGCATCAACTGAAAATCTATAAATCTGTTCCCAGAGCTGATTTTCCACCGATATCTCCATTCTTCCCCCCTACCACAATATGCCGAAGGCCCAGGAAGTTGTCTCACTAACAAGGCAATCCCCAATGTCCGGATTGGATGCGGGAACAGTTTTATCTCCATCCTTGGGTTGCAAGAAGTAACTCTTTTTGTCAGCAGGCCTCACAATTGTTTTGCCACCACACCATCGCACAAATAGTACATCAAAGCAGACAGGCACATCAGCTTCACCAATCTTGTGGGGCCCAACTTATGCTCATCACATCTTTTTATAAAAATAAGTTTCTTCATTTCCACCATAGCTGACTGTTCACATCACTGCAAATATTTTACACCCTCCCACATTGGCACAATGTACAACTTCACTTAGTTGCTGGGCTGGTTCAGGTCGGGGGGCGGGGGGGTGTTGGTTGCTGTTTTGGATACATTTGTAAAGATCTTGTAAAAGTTTCACAGCCCTTGCAACACAATTACGTCATATACAAGTGCTACAGATGAGAGGTATTACTACTAGAGTGCAGCATACAAATAAAAGAAAGAGGAGAGATAAGGGTGATATATGTTTGAGTTTGTAGGAAAGAAAGAATTGATGGGATATTTCCTTTAACCCCCCCCCCCCACACACACACACACACTCCCTCCAACCCCTGCCTCCAGCAAAATCAACTCAACATTTTTTATCGAAGGCAAAGGCTGTTGCTATGCAACCACAAAGCAACCAGCACTCTGCTAATTCAGCAATACAGAATATCTCTACAAAATTGTATACCTGTACCAGCATGAATATCAAAGAACATTCCTTTACCTAACTCCGCATCTCTTCTTTTCATGTACCACTAGTATGATCAACTTTTGACAAACAACTCACAGTTTTACAGCACTTGCAACACAATAAGGTCATATAAGTGCCGAAGATTAGAGGTGTTACAAGAGAGTAACAAACACAAAAAAGGAGGAAGAGAGATAAGGACGATAGACGTTTGATAGGAAAGAAGGAACAAACCACACCAGAGTACCCGCCAACCACCCACAGAGACAGTCTAAAGAGCTCTAAAAAAAACAACCCAAGTCCAAGAACATCCCTTCAGAGTTTTCAAACAAAGACCATTGCATCACGCTCAGGCATTATAATACCAACAGAGATAACAACACACCTATGCAGCAAATATCACTTCACTAGTCAAATAAAAGTCTAGCTTCCAAAGTAATACAAAATAATATCAATATCAAAGCTATGCAAAATTATAGATCCAATGAGTTGAGGCAAAAGAATATCTACTGATCAACTCAGCTCTAAGCAATATTAACAATCATCCCACATCCACACACACCAACCATGTTTTACAATGACTAGCACATTCAAACGTTGACAAAATGATAGATCCAATGAGTCAAACCAATATCTACACGGATCGTCTCGATCTAAGCAACATTAACAATCATCCCACATCCACACACACCAACCATCATGTTGCACAATGACTCGCACATTCAAACTTTGGCAAAATTATAGATCCAAAGAGTCAAACGAATGTCTACACGGATCAGCTCCATCTAAGAATAATAAATAGCATTTGTATAGCGCATGTCCCCACTTGATAGCAAGCTCTATGTGCTTTACACTATATCTAAGCAACATTTACCAATCACGCCACATTCTCACATACTACCCAACATGTTGTACAACGACTAGCACATTCAAACTATGGTGACCGCCCCACCCCGCCCCGCCCCGCCCTGCCCCCGCCCCGCCACTGCTCTCCGCCATCACAGTAGCTTCGTCCGATTCTCAATGGAGTTGTAGGAATTGCCTGCTTGGCCCCCTTTCCTCCTTTGAAGAAAATCTGCCAAAAGAGTGACGCGGTCTGTCATGATGCCAGCCACACCTAAACACATCGCTCGCTCAAAGTCTTCTTCTCGGTTCAGCACCCACAGGTATGTCTGGAAGGCAGAAGACAACACGTGAGAGGCAGCGTAGGGAAATCAACTAAGTTAAGTGGGTAGACAGTCGAACTTTACAGTTTTTGTCAGAGTTTTCACAGCCCTTGCAACACAATAAGGTCATACAAATGCCGAAGATTAGAGGTGTTACAAGAGAGTAACAAACACAAAATAGAAGGAGGGGAGAAAAGGACAACAGATGTTTGATAGGAAAGAAGGAGCAAACAACACCAGAGCACCCGCCAACCACCCGGTATGTAGATTTACTACAAAGATTTTTTTAAGTTAACAAATTTTAATGCATGTGTTTCTCCACCCCCATCGGCACAATTTAGATGATGAAAGGCTGGCTTTGTTGACCTTGCCAGTCAAGACCATTCCAGGACAAAAGCAAGGGATACAACGTCCCAGCAAAAAGACGTCTGAGACACACCATAAAAGTTCTCCCCACAAGGAAATCTTAGTTTTAGTAAGAGTTTTACGGCACTTGCAACACAATAAGGTCATATTCATATGAGCGCCAGAAGATTAGAGGTGTTACAAGGGAGTAACAAACATAAAAAAGAAGGAGGGGAGAGGAAGACAATTGATGTGCGATAGGAAGGAGCAAACCACACCAGAGCACCCTCCAACCACCCATTTTGTTGACCTTGCCCATCAAGACCATTCCAGAATGAAAGCGAAGGATACAACGTCCCAGCAAAAAGACGTCTGAGACACATGATAAAAATTCTCCCCTCAAGGGAATCGAACTGGGATCTTCCGTGTGCGACAGTAAAGCACCTATGAGCGTAACTGCTACACAACAGACACCAAACCACGGTAGAAATATAATATAAAAATAAAACAGCAATACAGAGATAAACTTCATCTTGCTCACCTGAATGCCTCTTTTGTCCAAGTGAGATATCAAAGACGGTCGCATCAGAAGTCTAGAGGACACAAAAAGGAATACAAATTTCCATGAGATCTTGACAAACACACACCAATGAACTGGGCACCTAATTTCATCTCAACAACTTTCCTTAACAGATACTCTGTGCACAATTCTATAAGTGTTTTTTTTTAAATAGTTTTAGTAAGGTTTTACGGAGCTCGCAACTGCATAAAGTCATAGGAGCGCCAAGGGTTTTTTTCCTGGGTGGGACCTAATTTCATGTCACCATGTAACAAACCTGCCCAGTATATGAGTGAAGTTCCCTGCTGGAGTGCTTGGCACTGAATGAGTTAAAGTCAACAGTTCATGAGCCTTGCACGTGCTCATGTGTACGATAACTAGCTGTTCATAAATGGTCGCTTTTAAGGACAAGCGGGCTAACCCAGATTTCGGGGGTTTCCAGAAAACTTGACCTACAGCAATAGTGGGCATTGCCCTACCTATAGGAAAAGTTTGGTTTCATTGGTGTGTATATTTGTTTGGTTATAGAGAAAACTCTCCTTGTCTTTTAAAAAAAACTGAACAAGGGGCAAAAACTTTACCTTTGATTTTCTAAAATGCTTACAAGCGACAAAATTGTAGTAACTGTAGATGAGAGGTAGATGAGAAAATTTTTCAAACTTGAACTTTTCTACCAGCAAGACATTCCCAACTCTACATTGCGGACACCCGCTGCTGGAGGATAAAATATAGGAAACAGCAAAGAGCAGTTTTTTAAGTCTTCACAACTGAGCAATCTCTCCAAACCGTAGATACGACTAAACTAAAGAAAACCAAGCCGTCCCGCAGATTTCAGTTCAAGCTACCCCCCACTGTACCTTATGTTCAAATTCCAACTTTCAGTAAGAAAAAATATTTTTGAACTAAACAAAAGGTATTTGTGTCACGACTCGGTGAAATCAGGCGCTCGTCAATTTTTGGGCAAGTGGAGTTATTGGTATCACCTTATAGCTTTTTCATGTCTTGCTTTCCATGAAAAAAATATCCATTTCTCTTGAATGCAAATCGAGATATTTGTGATTGAAGGAGGTGGGGATCGCCTGGTCTCAGACGTCAAATTAGCGAGAAAATGGCCACCAAAGTTTAGTTCTTTCCTTAGCTTGAGAGTCCATGGAAACAGAAAATTTCTAATTTTCATGCCTTTAATCGACGTTTTTCAGTACAATCCACACAGAAATGTGATCTTTAATTGACATGGAAGATGTTGAGCTAAAAAACAAATATTCGATAAAAATTCCCAAACCTACGGAAAAATGCCAGTTTCTTCACTTTCATTACTTTGACGAGCGCCTGATTTCACCACGCTGCCTCACATTTTACTTCTTTGTAGTGGTACAAGATGGCTCTTGCTGAAGACCCTTTCTCTCCCAAAAACAAAAACAACACTTGGAAACTAAACGGCTATTTTCAGACATGAAAAAATCATCACTTTTCATTCAGCTTTCCCTTCACAAAGTCCCAAAAATTAACTTGTTTCCAAAGTAACAAGAAAAGTGTTAGATTGGAACCCACAGGGTAAAAGATCAAGGGGAAGACCTCGTGGAACCAGGAGAAGAGTCACGGAAATGGATGTACAGAAAAGTGGGAAGACGTGGAGTGACATCAAGCGACTAGCCCAGGATAGGGAAAGGTGGAGAGTGTTTGTTCGTGGCCTATATCCTGACCCAGGGTGAGAAAGGCAATGATGATGAATGTAGATTATACCACATTACATTGACTTACTTATCCATAAGCCAGAAGAACCATTTCACTTTTTTGCTGAGTTGCCGGTCAAAAATGAATTCACTGGAACAAAAAAGAAGCAAAATTGTCAAGTAGAGTGGCAAACCGTGATTGTCTTTAGTTTAGTTGTAGTAGAGGTTTTACGGCGCTCGCAACTGCATAAGGTCATGTGAGCGCCAGAAGATTAGAGGTGTTACAAGAGAGTAGCAAACATAAAAAAGAAGAAGGGGAGATAAGGACGATAATGTTTGATAGGAAAGAAGGAGCAAACCGTACCAGAGCACCCGCCAACCGCCCGCAAACCGTGATTAAAAGAAAGCGCAACATCACACATATATATACATGTGAACACTCTTTACAGAAGTTAATACCCTCAACCACACAAAAACTATAAAGGTCAAAACAAGGATCATGGAATTAAAATGAAATCTGAATGTAAATAAGCACGAGTTTGCATCTCTATTCATTGCATTATCCACAGCTCAATAACAACCTACCGTGAAGGAAAAAAGATTCTTTTAAAACTGTAATGCAGTCAAAAATTTGGAAGAAATTCTACTTAAGTCTACAATATCAAAATCAGAGCTTACATTACTTATAATTATGCATAATACATATACCAGGAAGTTGAGGTTGTTTCAGAATGCTCTCGGGTCTGCTGGGGTAATAGTACAGATTGTAAAGCGCATAGAGCTTGCCGTTAAGCGGGGATTTGCGCTATACAAATGTTTATTATTATATACCAAGTATCAATCTTTATTCATTTCATTGATTAAAATGTATCTCTACATTTCAGAGAGAATATTGGATTGAGATACAATTTAATACAGGACCTCATTGACAGTTTGACACAGGTCAAAACCAATTACAGTAGAGTCCACGAATCTCAAACACGAAAACCATGAATTCTCCGGTATCTCAAATATAATGCTCGGTCCCGTTTCATCAGTCCCTACGTTTTCTTTGTATTGACTCCACGGAGTTCCCGAACACTCGGAACACGCAACACTCGAATCTCGAACAAATCCACTTCGCATTCTTAACTAAAAACCTGGCTTCTACAGCCTTTCTGGCCGGGGTTAGGTGGTTCTTTGGTATTGTTACAGCCAAAGCGTGGTTCTTGTCTCACCACACACACACACACACACGCACCCATGCACATACATACACACACACACACACAAACACAAACACAGCCACACACACACACACACAAGCGACATCTTGAACCACACACGAGTCCAGCAAAAGGCCAGGCACCATCACCTCCAGCAAAGACTCCAGGATGGGGACAAATACACGCACACACACACACAACCACACCCACACACACCCACACAGACACACACAAACACACACCCACACACAAACACCCACACACACACGCGACTCACAAGTCCAGCAGAAGGCCAGGCACCACCACCTCCAGCAAAGACTCCCGTATGGGGACAAACACACACACACACGCACACACACACACACACACACACACACACACACACACACGCGCGACTCACGAGTCCAGCAAAAGGCCCGGCACCACCACCTCCAGCAAAGACTCCCGTATGGGGACAAAGGGGAGGAGTCCCGTCCAGAACAACACCAGCAGAGACACAACTTTGCGCATCGAGAATATCAGAGGGACTTGAGGGTTCTGAGGAAAGACGGAGAAAAATCGACTCAAAACAGTACAATACTTTTCCGATCCACCGGCCATTTGAGTTCAAGCCCTTCGGCCTAAAACAGTACAATAAACAATCACCTTTTCAGAACAGAAAGGGCTTAACATTCCAGCTTCTACCAGTGGATTTATCTTTTAGTAAGAGTTTTACAGCACTTGCAACACAATAAGGTCATATAAGTGCCGAAGTTTAGAGGTACTGCAAGAGAGTAACAGACACAAAAAAGAAGGAGGGGAGATACAGACGATAGATTTTTTTGTAGGAAAGAAGGAGCAAACCACACCAGAGCACCCACCAACCACCCACTCTTGAGGAACGATGGAGAAAAATCTGCTCAAAACAGTACAACAAACAATCACCTTTTCACAACAGAAAGGACTTAACATCCCAGCCGCTATCAGTGGATTTATCAAATCCATCTTCTTCCGAATCCGTTAACATCCAAAACAAAAAGGAAACAGGCTACACGCATCGAAACATTCATACCACAGCAAAATGGAAGCGGGCTTTCGATGAAAAAAATATCCATTTATCTTGAATAAAAGTCGAGATATTTGCCATTGAAGGAAGTGGGGTCACCTGGTTTCAGAAGTAAAATTAGCGAAAAAATGGCCAGCCAAAGTTTGGTGACTTCCACAGCTAAAGAGTCCTTGGAAACTGCCAAATTTACATTTCTTGTCCCTTTAATCAACGTTTTTCCATAAAATCGACACATAAAAGTGTTTTTGAATAGACGTACAAGGTGTTGAGCCAAAAAAACAAAAATTCAAAAGAAATTTCAAAATTGGCTGTAAAATGCTGATTTCTCGGATTTCATTATTTTGACGAGCGCCTGATTTCACCACGATGCCCCACATATCACTTTGCCCAGATCCCAAATGTCAGTGCCAGCAAAGTGGGGCAAATGTGTGCTCAAAGGTCTACCTCTGTTAGTGAGTGTACCTAGAAATTTCTTTGAGTTAGCTACATCGCTACTGATGTTACTTTTGTTCATCCAATGAAATTTCAGCTGAAATTTAATCCAAAGAACCAGATTTTTTTTGGGTAAGCGTTTTACGGCACTTGCAACACAATAAGGTCATATAAGTGCCGAAGATTAGAGGTGTGTTACAAGGGAGCAATAAACCCCAAAAAATGAAGGGGGGCGATAAAGACGATATATGTTTGATAGGAAAGGAAGTGCAAACCACACCAGAGCACCCACCAACCACCCACTAAACCAAATTAAATACTTTGCAGTCACACAGCCAGCAGTACAAAACACCCCATCTGGTCACCCGGCCAGGAGAGTGACTACTGCATCAGACTTCTTGGGCACCAGATGAAAGAAACGGATAATTTTCCCCGGCGCATTATTATTGCGCCAAGTGACTGCAAAGTGTTAAGGAATCTTCTTCGTCTCCTCGATCGCATCACATTTGAAGTTCGGTATCAGTCATAAATAGGGCTGTCCTGCTCAGTGTGTTAAGGAATGAACGTACCAGTTTGTACAGCTTGTCACATATACTGTTTGACCGGTTGCCCCAGGCTGTGAGGTCCTCTCTCTGGTACTGTCTTATCAACCCGTCCACCTGAGGGAACACAAGGTCACACTACATGAGCCCACAGTCACAGCTTTCCTTCATGTAATAATAATAATAATAATAATAATAATAATAATAGATAGCATTTGTATAGCGCAAATCTCCGCTCAACAGCAAGCTCTATGCGCTTCACAATCTATACTATTACCCCAGCAGACCTGAGAGCATTCTGAAACAACCTCAACTTCCTGGGAAGCATACAGTGCAAGCGGCCATTTATAGGGGCTAAAACACTAACATACTGACAAGATCTTACGCTGTCTATGGCCGAGTATCCATTCCCACCCGCGTGAAGTGAGGAAAATTCGTGTAAGCAGAGGCGAAGCGTCTATATAATCAAATAATCACTGCTTCCCTTCCTAATTTTGAAACATTGTCGCAGTCAAATTCACCCATAGACGTAAACCTCATAAATTAAATGTAAAAAGACGTTCATAATCACCAATGAACAATAGATTTGAAGGGAACATGTGCATAGCAGTCAGAACTGTTTCACTGTCGCATATACCCTGTTCACCCCTTTCGGGCCACAGTTATAAGCACCCAGACGCGCTGATTATCTAAGCGAACTATTACACTGGTCGAGTCTACCTCACAGATGTGAGGGGAACTAACTCCTAATAATCCTTTGACTCCTGCTACAACACTGCTAGTGCTTGTTTTTTTCCTCGACTTTTTAACGTCCTATAATCAGATCGTGACCTCGATTATGACAGCGGCTCCTGGCCGCGAAAAGCTAGACAAAAAACAGCCAAATGTGAAATAAAAAATTAATAATTGGCGTGCTCTACCAAAGTGTTTCGGCTGTCTGGTATAACATGCCATTGTAGTGCTGACATCTGTGCTTCTTTCCTTGGTGTTCGTGTGTTCAAAATTAAAGTTAAATTTAAGGTTAGTTAGAATAAATATTTAATGAAATACTTTCCCGATTATTTTAGTGGTTGAACAAGCATACAACATGAATTCGGGATTTGTTTTCATTCACAACTGAAGAGTTGCCGCCTCCAGTGCCAGTAAGATTCTTGTGACTTGTGTGAGTGTGATATCTCCAGGCCCTATCTGGTCCCGTTTCACTTTGATTACCCTGTCAAATAAGTCAGCCTTCGCCCCTGCGTGTAAGTAAAGAGCCTTTCCCAAGGACACAACGTCAGGCCCGTGGCTCGAACACCCGACCCGCAACCTCATGATTACGAGTCCGGTAGCCTAACCACTAGGACACTGACGCTACATGTCATACAAAAGTGGTGGTAGCTTCATCCCCTTGTACCACTTAGCATTACATCATACAGTACGAAAAGCCCAAAATAAATGTACTGGAAAACTAGCTGCAAAAATATGGATATTATATAGCGAACAACTTTCTAATAACAAACAAAAAAATTTAAACTAAAAAAAATATCTGCATTTTCTCCATCTTCTTAAAACTACACGGAACTTCTGCTCAGGATCAAGCCAGTGGTCTCTAGAGATTAGTCGTTTTTGTGATCTTAGCACCACATTTTACAGGTCAAATCCATTTTTTAAAAGAAATGAGTAATCCTTAACCCTTTAAGGTCGTCTCACTCAGGTGCATGTTGTGTGAACCTCAAAGTAAAGATATTCAGGCACAGGCATGCAATCAGAAAACGGAAAACTAGAGATCGTCATACACTTGTCAGAACTCGCATTAAGGCAACGGTTGACATAAGGAGGTGGTGAGAAGACCGCTGACCTTTTGCATGAGTAGCTCATTGTCCACCTTGATATCCACGTTGACCGGCATGTGTGGGAAGTCCCGGAACACCTCCTCCAGCAGAGGAATTCTCTGATCCTCTCCCTCCCCGTACATGGCTGGAGAAGGAAGGGGGGGGGGGGTAAAAAGCGAGTTTTTAGTTTTAGTAGAGGTTTTACGGCACTCACAACTGCATAAGGTCATATGAGCGCCAGAAGATTAGAGGTGTTACAAGAGAGTAACAAACATAAAAAAAGAAGGGGAGATAAGGACGATAGATGTTTGATAGGAAAGAAGAAGCAAACCACACCAAAGCACCTGCATGAATTTCATGCACTTTTACTTTTATGAGACAAAAAAGAAATCAGTATATGCGCTTAGGTTAAGTTTTCGTAAGAGTCTTATTTTGGGGGGGGGGATAGACTTTTTACGGCGCTCGCAACTGCATAAGGTCATATGAGTGCCAAGGGGTGGATGTCAACAGAGAAGTCTTTACAGGGAACTGCCACCTGCGTCAAAATTTTTGAAAAAGCGTCTAGCAATGAGTGACCGTGCCTGGCTGCCTGAGGCAGGTAAATGTAACTGTGGGTTGATAAAATAAGATGGCAGCAGCCGCATTGGACAGGTGACCGTTTAATACAGTTAAGTTATATAGAAAAAACGCAAGGGGGAAATGAAAAGTGGCCGTTTGTACAGGTGGCCGTCATGGCAGGTTCGACTGTATCTTTAAGTTAGGGCGTATGGTAGACTTTACTTACACTGAAAAAAGTCCACTCGTATCCTGTTCTTCATTGGTGGAAGCTCCTGAAAAAAAAAAAAAAAGAAAATATGTGGCATTACAGTGACATCAAGCGCCCGTCAAAAACAATAAATTCAAAGAAACCAACATTTCTCGGTGTGCTAGGCAATTTTTACCTAACAGTTGCGGGGTGGGGCCTCAGCACCTTATATCACTCACCACAGCAAATGTGAGGCAGCGTGGCGAAATCAGGCGCTCGGCAAAGCAATCAAAGTGAAGAAACTAGCATTTTTCCGCAGGTTTGCGAATTTTAATAGATTTTGGGGGGGGGGGCTCAACACTTCTCATACCCATTAAAGAACACATTTCTGTGTGGATTTTTATTGAAAAACATTGTTTAAAGGCACTAAAAAATGTAGATTTTCAGTTTCCACACACTCTCGAGCAAAGGAAATATCTAGTCTTTGGAGGCCATTTTCTCACTAATTTTACCTCTGAAACCAGGTTATCCCCACGTCCTTCCTTCACAAATATCTCGACTTGTATTCAAGGTATATGGATATTTTTTTCATCCAAAATAAGACAAATAAAAAAGCTTTCAGATGATACCAAATAACTTACAACTCCACATGCCCCAAAATTGACGAGCGCCTGATTCCACCACATTGTGACACATATAAGCAAGACAAACGAACTAGCATTAAGATTTAATCATTCCATTTGTTCAGAAATTGACAATTCCAGCTTTTACTTATGCGGAAATACTTTAAAATGGTTTTCATAGCTTTCTCCTGCCCTCCAAACCCCTTCCTCCCTCAATCTATGTTACTCAGGTGATGCACACATACAAACAGACACACACTGTACACACACACACACACACACACACACACACACACACACACACACACACACACACACACACACACACACACACACACACACACACACACACAGACATACAGACTAACACACACACACAAATATACAAACACACACACACCCACACACACAGACAAACACACACACACACATACAAACAAACACACACACACACACACACACAGACACACACACACACACACAGGAATTCAAATCCCTTACACGAAATCAACCACTACTGCTGAAAGTATCCTACTAACTAGCGGATAGTTAGAGAACATTAGGAGTACATCATTGGCCGATATTTATAGTAACAGCCATCTTGTTTGACCTATTCTTTAACACACCTAATATAATGAGCATTATCATAACACTTTGTTAAAATGAAAGAAAAAAAGCTTTCTTTTTTTACTCCACATTTTTTTTTCAGATCAGACAGTGAGAGAGTAGGTCTGGAACTTCTTAAACTTGTCTGTTGTCAGAAAGAAGAGCACTATTTTCTGACACAAACAAGATGGCTGTTACTATAAATATCGGCCAATGGCGTACTCCTAACGTTCTCTAACTCTCCGCTTGTATCCTACACATGACAAAATCTTCCTTACGCTGTAGTCTGTGTCTGAAATGTTCACATCCATCCCACAGGTGCGCATCAAGTGGTTGTCGTGGGACACAACAACTTTCTCATCTTTGGTGAGGTGGCAGTCCAGTTCAAACATTTCTGTTCCCACGCTTTCAGCACTGAGAACGGCAACGACAGGAAACAAAAAAATCACCACAGGAACAGTTTTTTAAGTATTATTAGTAAGAGTTTTACGGCACTTGCAACCCAATAAGGTCATATAAGTATTATATATATAAGTGCCAAAGATTAGAGGTGTTACAAGAGATTAACAAACATAAAAAAGAAGGAGGAGAGATCAGGACGAAAAATGTTTGATAGAATAGGAAAGAAGGAGCAAACCACATCAGAGCACCCACTAACCACCCACACAGGAAAATTTATACCATCAATTCCATTTCAAGAGCTGATAAATTATAGCCTTCACATTAAAAACTCTGTTGACAGAACACCCAACATAACACAAACAACAACAACAAAAAATAAAATACAGAGTTAATAGTAGTAGTAGTAGTAGTAGTAGTAGTAGTAGTAGTAGTAGTAGTAGTAGTAGCAGCATAGGGTTTCACGGCGCTCGCAACTGCATAAGGTCATATGAGCGCGCGAAACACTAGTTGTTTGCATTCGCAACAGTTCACTGCACGGTTGGTTAGCTTTTAGACTTTAAAATGTTAAAATGTTTAATAATCAGTGTAGATATATATATATATATATTTTCGATCTAAAACAATTTTTCTAGTTAACATAAAAATTTTAAATAGTATCAATTTCAATTTACAATTTGCCATAAAGGCCAATGGCCTTTATAAAATTCAAAATTCTGCTGGGAACAACGATGAAAAAAATGTCTTGCAGAGTTAATAGAGATCAAGAGAGATCATTCTACGATGTACGGTAACTTACAACTTGAAGGCTTCCATTGAATTTTCTAAATTCTCTGCAGCACCTGACAACAAAGAAAGAAACAATGTTTACATCATGCTATATATATATTTAATAAATTATCACACTGAAAAATTGTCAAATGTTTTGAGAGAGGAGCAAAGGAGAAAGGGAGATATGTGCAGTGTACAACAATGCAACGCAGATGTTATAGTTATACACTAAACCAAGAAAAAAATATGCATTAACATTCAAATCATTAAAGTTCTTTGCAATTCAAGGAGATTTTGATGGGTTTTTTAAATAGAAAGGCAACAGCAGTCTCTCAAAAATCAACAGTTGTTATTTTGTTTCATTGTTGTGTAAGGGTATATATATCATAATATATCATCAATCCATTTTTTTTTTAAAGTACAGGAGAGTTTTTCATTACATTGAAGAATAGCATGGCTCATATATTGGACTTTTGTATCGCTCAGCATGTCGCCGTGCGGTGAGGTGCGACACAGTACAGTGCTTTGCATGCGGTACAGCACGATACAGTATATAATAATATATGTATATATACTTTTACAGTATGGTATGGTGCTATATTCAGAAAGGTGTGGTATGGTGCAGACTGGTATGGTATGATATTTCAGGAGTATATATCATTCCTTACAAGCATCATGAGAACATCATTGACAGGAATCTCCAAAAGAAATATGATCTCAAATAGGATTGCACCAAGTCGTTAGATAGAGAGCTTGAATTCGCTAGAGAGCTGGAATTTATATATAACAAACTGTCCTAACAACCCAAACTCAAGAATCTCAATCAGTGATTCAAACTCAGGTTGTATCTGAGTCCAATAAGATATCAACTGAGCTCATCATCATCGTCTTTCTCACCCTGTATCAGGGTTATAGGCCACACAAACAAACATTTTTTGCATTTCCCTATCCTGGGCTAGCTGTTTGCATTATTCCATAACTTCCCACTTTTTGTACATCATTCCCTGCAACTCTTCTCCACATTCCACTTGGTCTTCCCCTTTTATCTCCTACCCTATGGATTCCAATCCAACCCACAAAGCAATCTATAGAGACTTGTTCAACCGAGAGGGTTTCCGGTCAGGAGAGTCCTTTCGGCTTTGTCCACTGTCCTTTCATTGGTCCTGCTGGAGCAGAAGCTGACTCCCAAGATTTTAAAAAATCAAATGTCTTAGCCAGCCTTTCTGTAACTTTTTTTTAGTTGTCACAGGGTTGAGTAGCTGGCCCTCCTCCGTCAACTAGCATTTTTCGGGAGACCAGACCCACACACCTTTAACGACACGCAGTATCATGGAAGGTGTCATTCTTTGCTCCCCCATAGTTAAACTATGGAGCCCCTACATGCAGGGGTGATCAACTGAGCTCTAACAAAGTGAAAATGTTAGTGTCACTGTAGTCAAAAATACAATCATGCATCTTTTATATTCACAATCCCAAAAAAGAGACTGTCTATTAAACATTCAAGTCAAGATGTCAAGTGAGTTTTTTTAGAGCTGAAAAAGATCAAGACAAAAAACAGAAAAGAGACAAATGACATATATATACAGGAGTGGAAGCAATCAAAGCACCCAATTGTGTTTTTAAGACAGAGCAGGCACAAAGACCAAACTTGTGTTCTCATTGCCACTTTTCACATAGATTTAATTTAATATAATTTCACTTACCTCCGCGATGGCTTATATGAAGAGGTCTGAACTTTATCTGCTTCTTTCGATGAAGGAGCGTTGGAAATTTCAGTAGAAGAACAGATGTGAATATGTAACCTCCAAAAAGAGCGAGAAATACCATGATTCCCACAAATCCTGAAACACTTGAAGATGCAGATCCGTCCGAAGTATAATTCTGTAGCAATGTTGAATTTTCAACTGTGAAAGTGGCAAATGGATTATCACTGGAATTGTCTGATAGGTACAACAATATTCTTCTACCAAAAATCATTTTGTCATTGTACTTTTTCGTTAGAAGTTGTTAAATACAAAATATGTGTGCATTTTCACTACCTTTTCAATTTTTTGTAGAAAGAAATGAATTCCTTTAGCATAGCAATTCACAGTTTAGATTCTTATACCTGACCACTTACTTGTGGCATTCAAGTTTGAATAGATCTATCTAGATGATCTATAATAGCTATATCTGATCGCAATCTGAGACATCTACAAAATACAACAACTACACTGCAATAGTGACAGTCCATTAAGAATCCAGATTGCAGGAGATGAAGTTTCATTTTATAGTCCAACCTCAGAACCAGAGATCATGGGCCATGACAGTGCATTACTGAATGAATAATATGTGTGACTAATCCAAGCAGTGCAGACAAACGGGTCAGGGGGAACTGTCCCTCCTCTACACTTTTTATAGTCTGCTAGAAACACTTTGGCTTGACCTCCATTAAACAATAATACACTTCCTTTTAACTTAGATCTAGCATGAAAATGGAGAAACTTAAAATTAAGTCCATAGCCATAATTTAGCTTCACAGCAACCTAAATTCCAGGTTGAAATTTATGAATCTGTGCAGAAATCTAAAACAAGGGAAGCTTTGGAAAAAAAAATCTGAGTGAAAAAAGAAAGATTGAGACGAAAGTATTTTCTCGATATCTTCTCTCCTCACCCGCATACCCTAACATTCTAGGCGGATTAAATCTCACACCTAACCTATTACCTATTCCCTATTCATGGTAAGAAATAGTTAGATCTAGAGATCTATATTCAGACGTGATTGACAGACACAATATGCAGTCGCTAACGATCGATATCAATTCCGTTTTACACACACCACAGTACACACATCCCTCGGCCTCGGCCCTCGATACAGTCCAGTTCATGTCAGTGTGTCAGTCACAGTCACCGAACTCAACGAGATCACTTTTTGTTGACAGATAGCCTAAGCGGATTTTCCTCTGGTTTACCTGATCTTTGACTCCCTGTTCATCTAAAAAATCCGATCACTGGAAGATCACAAGGCACCACTCAACATAATGTCCAACTTGCCAAGGCTATCTCATCGTTCGTTGTTGTAGATATATCTATTGTTGACAATGTTACGACGATTGTGAGTCGGGGTATGCTTGGGTGCTTTGTGCTGATTGAAGGAACAACATGAGAAACCAAAACACAGATCGGCAAATCAAATGAAACGGCTTTGTTGTTAAACAATGCTCAGCGACGTTGGTAACGAGATTGTGAAATCTCCGCTAAGGACTTTGCCTTTTGGCTATAATACATATATAATTAATTATAACCTAATAAGGGCGCTTATATTACAAGTTCGCATGCACTTTGGAATACACGTGCATGTATTGGTCAATAATCTAATTGGTAGAATTGAAAGCACATCTCACTCGTATCCAAAATTTACGTGCGCATTACATGTATCTCTGTCCGAGTCTGTCTCTTTGTCAGTCTATGCATATTCTTCTGTTTTTAATGCCCTTGTCAGTACATCGCACCCCTTCCCTCCAAATAAGAAAACTCTCTCTCTCTCTCTCTCTCTCTCTCTCTCTCTCTCTCTCTCTCTCTCTCTCTCTCTCTCG